CCACCGGCGCCCGAGGACCCGGCCCGGACTAGCCCGTGGCGCCCGCGCCCTGCTGTAGGGGCCTCTCCTTGGAGGAGATCTGAATGGTGGCCGCCCAGATCACCTTCCCTACCATCCCCAGAGGCCGGCGACTTGTGGAGAGAGCGCGGCCTGGCGGCGGCGCGGCTTACTGCTCACCTTGTGTTGCGAGTCCAACAGGTGTACTTGATGAAGCCGCTGGTCTGAGGCGCTGCTCGCAGGAGCCCCCTGCCGGCTACAAGCCTGGGCGGAGCTTCCTCCAAAAGGAAGGGACATGGGTCAGCCGAGTGTTAAGGAACAAGAATTTGTTTTCCTGCCTGTATAATAAAGCCACAATTCACTCTTTCTTTTATCGCCGCTGCCCTCCCCTGTAGTTGTTCTTTTTTCTTTTCCTTTCTGACTACCTTTCTGGTTAGAAGATCCACCATGTTTTGTCGTGTTGCACTAGTTTGTGCGCAGTGTATGCGGAAACACTATTTTCCTAATTTTTACAAGAACCTAACGCTTGGACCAAGGATTGGTTTAAGAATTTCAAGCTTACGAGTCTCTGGTGCAAGGATGAGGAAAAGCTGCCTTGTTAAATTCTAATTGAATAAAATTTGAAGTGCAATGAAATTTCATGGCTTCTGAGACCTAATGGCTTGTGATTTTAAAGAGTGAACGAGATGGCTTTGTTTCATGCCTTCATCTAACATACAAATGTGGACATAATCTGTTTTAAATGGAAGTTAGATAGGAGAGGTGAAACTGTGTCAGTGCTGTGAAAAAAGGCATAGACAATGCTCAGTAGCATCCACACAGAACTAACAGTGATCTCTACAGGAGGAAATTTTGTTTTTTCTGATCAAATAGGTGGTCGACGTTATTGTGGGCAAAACATATCTCTTCGTTCTTTGCGTTTTCTTGGAGGGGGTAAAAAGAAATGCCTATAGTAGTTAATTCTCGTTGCCTGTGTAACTTGGTGACAGAGAGTTAACATTTTGTTCTGTAAATTTTTTGGCAGTCTCTGCATCTCTATATATGGCTTTAGGCCAGTTTCCCAACAAGAAGAAATTTTATTCATTACTCAATGATAAAATCTCACTGTAGTGTACATTGAACAACACATTGCTTGTATTGCTATATGAATAAAAGGTAAAAAATTACTTAGAATATGAAGAGTGTTAAATTTATAGTTCCATTATAAGAGGCTGAAGCATACTTTTTTTTGTTGTTTTTTGTTTTTTGTTCTTTGTTTTTTTTGAGACAGGGTCTCACTATGTAGTTGAGACTGACCTCGAACTCACTGTGTAGCCCAGGCTGGTCTTCAACTCACAGCGATCCTCCTGCCTCAGCCTCCCAAGTGCTGGGATTATAGGCATGCATCACCACGCCCAGCATTGAAACATACTTTTTGGTTGTCACTTTCCACTGCCAGTTGTATTCTACATAGGGCCTCATCCCAAAAATATTGTAATACTTCGCTAGTGTATATCATCATATAATTTTTAAAAACAATGGTCATATTAGACATAATTTTAATATATACTTTATCTAGAGAGTTTTGCACAGGATTTTAAAATTAGGCTTTCCCAAAATATTCCTCAACACACAACTGAAATATAAACTAGTGACACCATGCATTTAGTTTCAGTCTCTCTCTCTCTCTCTCTCACACACACACACACACACACACACACATTTTTTCTATAACTCATGCCTTAATTGAACTTGCATGAATATTTCTTGGCTTCTTTGCACTATCAGATTTCTGAATGGAACTCACTGCACATCCTACACACAAACACAACAACAATGTGACAACAGAGACAACAGAGCAAAGGAACCCAGTTTACAACAGGCGGGTCACTCCAGAAATCCCCATTTAGCTTCCTGATTTTAAGTAGGCAATTAATAGCCTAATAACCTGCAGCTATGTTCCCCACACCCCACCCCAGGTAAAATATCATAATCTAAATATACTGAACTGATAAAAAAGTAAATTATTTCTTGGGAATTTATGTCCCATCTATGCTAAGGTTTTAATATGATTATGGAACATCCTGAAAGTGATTTATCGTATTGATTTGGGCACTAAGTAACCCAATTAAGCAAAACTAATTCAAACAAGGGAAATATAACCTCCAACCTACTGGATATCTGAGACATGAGTTTGTGTTCTCTATAATCAAAGAATGAATTCTAGGGACAACAGAGGTTAAGAGTAAGGAATATTTTCTATAAAATTAATTTTTTGAAAAGAGTTAGAAATATTTGCGGAGGGAAAAACAGCTCGTGCTTGAGAGGGACAGGAGGGGACACCCAGAAAGTACATTGTCCACCCACTCTGCAGTCACCCAGGTCATATTAAATGGGGATCAAAAGGGAAGACAAGTCATTTAGCAAGTATCCAAGAGAATGAACTTCTGGAAAGGATGTGGGCTAGGGAGACTGATGCCTGTTTAGACTATCAATCACTGCTATTGATCTCTGGGGGAAGTATGTGGTGTAGTACTTTTCCCCTCCATACGCTGTTAACCTTCAGGGAATGCGCCTCAGTTGTTGTCTATGTTGAGGGCCCAGCCTTGTCCAGTATCTCTAATAGCATGTTTAGAACAAAAGAGTTATCTACATTTTGAATGTAGATACAAATGAAGGTTACAGATAAAGACCAAATCCTAAAGATTGGCATTTAAAAGTTTTTGGTAAAATATAAGCAGCTGTCTGTGTCAAAATTGACGCAGATGTAAAGATAAACAAATGGATAGATGAAGATTTGGAGTGAAGGAATCCACTGACAAAGTACAGGAAAAGTAAACACTAAAAGGAGTAGCCTCAGAAATAAGAATGAAAGAAGGCATTTTGATTTATGAGGAAGGGAAGCTAAGATTTGCAGTTTCATATTCAGCTCACTGGTTTTGGACCAGTCGTTAACACTTTTCCAAAGTTCTCAGTGATTTACTTGTCATGGGGAGTTAGTTGGTGCATGTGCACAACACAGACTCATTCTTTCATTCATCTCCTGCCCCTCCCGTGCCTCCCTGCTCCTCACAACTCTGTCCCCTTCCTGATTGCAAAAGCTCTATTTCCACTTTTTCAATTTCCCCCAGTCTCTTTTCCTTTCCACCCTCTTCACTCCCTACTGAGTGTGTTGCAATGGCTAGATAAAGTATTTTAAGTAAGTGCATATGAATGTGACAAATTGGTGCTCATTTCTCTGTATAAGAGAAAAGAATAAAAGAAGGATTTTGTTTGAGGTGCTGAAGTTCTCTAAGCCAGTTTTGTGTGCAATCCATTTTGTCAGTGACAGGCCCTGAGTCAGACCCCCACCCAAGCAGACCCGAATCCACAGGAGCAGAGATGACAAGAAGCCAGCAGCTGCCCAGCTGCTCTCACCACCACTGTTTCTCAGCCAGCTCCAGGCGCATCAGCCCTGGGACTGTACAAGTTTCTGCCCTCTTGAGTCTTCTCCCCTACCTAATATGCCCCATGTCAACAACGGGAACCCTTATCTCAGTGCCAGTGGCCTTCTCATCCTTGCCCCATCTGCACCCAGATGGCAATGAACTCATCACATGTTGCTTAGACCCTGCCTGCCTTGATGGTGTCAGTTGTGCCTCCATCTGACCTTACTTGCAGTCAACCTGTGCATCGTCAAGCAATTATATGAAAACATTTTTAAGGGTAAGCACTTTTTACTTATATTGATATTTTAAGTCAACTCTTAGCTCTGAATAAAGACCATTGACAAGGCTGATAAATGACTTTATCTAGTGTTACTACTAACTAGTCTATCTAGATATTTTCTCTGTTCAACTCTTTATCATCTGCAATTTTATACTACAGTCTGCTTTAGGTGGTCATACTATAAAGAAAGAACCTAAACATTTTTTCAGTTACATATTTATATGATAGAAGTTATGCATATTTTTATTTAACCCAAAGTCTTTATCAGCAACCCCCCACATGGCTTTTATAATAAGAAAGAATCATTAAGAACCACAAGTTTGATTAGTTGTGAGAAGCTAAAAAGTCCTAGAGAATAAGTCTTTACAATTAATATGAACTGCTCAGGATTTATATTGTTTTTCAAGGAGTGAGCGAATTAATATATTGCAGTGGGTAAGTCAGATTTAGATCAAGGCTCTAATAGGACCTTTGGAAGGTGAGGTGGAATAATTAAGTCCTCCAATGTTTGTCCCTAAGGAAGGTTCTGAATGCTATGTGATTATGACCGCAGAAAATACCTGTAGGAAATCTGTGGGACGGACATCTAAGTTCAGGCTTAAGGAATGAAGGAATGTAGAGGGACCATGAGGACACAGTATGGGGTGAAACAAGTGAGCTTAGAGGAGCAGACAGTTAAGGAGGGAGAAGCAAGGAAATGGTGTCAATAAAGTTGAGGTGAACAGGTGAGTGTCTTTGAGATTCTGTCAGCTCAGATAAAACACAGGGTGACTGCTGGACAACACGACCAAAGTTGAACTGTGAAATCATTATGGTTTCTACATAACAAAAAAAAAGCAAACCATTATTTATTTATAAGTAACTTTCAATCTCTAGAGGAACAGTCTCTCAAAGTTCACCTCCTTTGGGGTACAGAAAGAATCTCATATGGGATTTCATGCCATTTTGTCGTAAACTACAGACCTCAGTAGACTCAGTAACGGCAGACTAAAAATTTGTCACAGGAGCTGAGCTGCCTAATGGAGTTAGAGCTATCTATGGAATTAGAACAGCACTTGAATAAACAGAAGAGCCCCCCTGAGAAGAGCTGACAGATACTTTGCTCATCATGAGAAAGCTGACATAATCCTGCTCAACAGAAACAGAAACAGATTAATCTCCTCTGAAAAGGTGAAAAATGTCCTCTTAGGAAATTCTCGAATAGAAACTCAAGAAAGCACCTTCTTGGCAGAATGAAAGTGATTGTTGGGCTGCAATCCACAAATATTTGGAGAACTCCTTATTCTGACTCTCAGGGAGTGGTATGAGTATATGAGTGAAAACAGAGGCTGTCCGGAATTCAGCCCAAAACATTCAAAATTAAATTCATTTTTAGGCAGAAAAACAGACTTTATTAAAAAAGACTAATGAAAAAATGGTCCAATGTTAGAGTCTACCCTAGATGAAACAGGAAAACATTCTCGTTTGTCTGTTACAATTTTGATTATAGGAAGAAACAAGCATTTCACTTTCATGGATTTAGTAGAAGTAGAAGAGTTAGCAAAATGGAGGCTTTTTGATGGTATACTTCTCCCTCCACCCCAGAGGAGCC